TCCGTTCCAGCTTTCACCATGGAAGGCTCACAAGGATGGCAAATACATAAGACAGAAGAATACTATGTCAGTCACCTCAAAGAGAATTTAACACTTCAGAAACCACCTCTAAAATCTACAACAATGTCAATCAATGTATGAGAAAAATAATAAAAAACAAAAGTGAAATGTACAATTACAGAAAAAAGTACAAAAAAATAATTAAAAATGACGTTACTTCATTCACCCTCTTCTTCTCATGCTCAGATGAATACCTTTACTTTTTTTTTTCCCTGAAGTAGAAAATTCTCTAAAAATATATATATATATTCCACCTTAGATGAATCACTTCACAATGGTCAGCCGCAGAAGCACTTTGGTCGGTGCACGAAGCAGGTAAGAATACATGATGCACAAAATATACACTTCATATTTGGTGGGAGACAAACATACAAAAAAGTCCCTTAAATGTGCAGGAATGTACACTGTGGTCCACGAAGTAAATTTTTGGGTTTTTTTCTCCCGTGCCATTATATAGACACCAAACAAACAAATCTCTCTTTTCTTTTACGTGTTGATCATCACAACACTAAATATATATATCAATGGGAATAGAAATAAAGTTTATCTTTTTTTTTGTGTGTGTGTGTGAACTTCTGGAAGCTCTGGGATTATCACATCCATTGTTTGTCGATCACATAGTTCACTTCTGGGGTACGATTAATAAGGTTTCACTTGGGTATTTCCAACACTATAAAAAAAAAAAAATCCCTCAGATCATCTTTTTTGCAAATATGATTGCAAAAAAAATATTTGCAAATATTCTCTTCTTTTAATCAGCCTTAACAAATATCGTATATAATTTCTGTACAGTTGCGGGTTATTTACACTTTGCTCTCAGGGCCAACCGCGTGGTGCTCGAAGCTCTGCCTGATGCGCGAGAGGTGCGAGGTTGTGACGTGGCCGTAGACCTTGTTGTACCACTCTGGGGTGCGCCCTCTGCAAGCAGAACGAGGTGAGATTACAAAACTGTTTATTTGTTATTATACCACTCTATGAAATGTATGAAGATTAATTTTAGAATGAGGTTACGTATTTTAATGTTGTGTCTAACTCCAACAATATAACATTATTACACCAATCTTTCAATTTATAATTTTTTTTCTTTCAAGCAATCCGTCCCATCACCTCGGCCATTACACTAGTATAACATGCTGTCCTCACCTCATGTCAAGCCGTGATATGTGCGTGATCCTGGATTTGCCCGAGCCACACGGTTGGATAAGGTATCGGGAGGCCAGCACTATGCCCCTCACGCTGCCCACGAGGATGGGGGCATCGGCATGCTCCACAGAGGTCTCTACCACAATGCAGGTTCCTCGGGCCAAATCGCTTCTCCAACACCTGCAATAATTATTGGGTTTTATATTCTCTCCGACTTACCACAAGATTGGCAGTGCAGTTCCCACAGTTATATTTTTAATTCATGGATAAGTAAAGTTACAACAAAAACACCTCTGCTATTTCAGATTTGAACAATATGTAAATGTCTGAATTTGCAACACCACCCAGCCCAGAGTTACGATGAAGATATAGCTCAACCCATCAACTATGGAAAGCAGAAGATACAAGGCACTCACCTTAACACACAATAATCCACGGGAGGCCGAGGGGGCATGGAGTTGCACATATACTGGAAGACTTCAGCCTGACGATCTAACCGACTAATGACTCTCCACTTCAACAAGGAATCATCCCACAAGTGCCTAAAAGAGATGAGTAACTCATGTAAGTATGTAACAATAGCAATAGAGAAAACAATAGGCACTAAATACCCTTTCCATACTACAGGGTCTGTGAATCTGATAAATATGCCAAAAACAAATTTCTGAATTAAGCAATATTGCATGAATTTTTTCTGCAATGGCCCTTAGAAGACTTTGTGTACAGCTGATTTACACACAAACCTAGAATTTTCACAGTACATTTTTCCAATGAAGAAAAGGCTAATACAAATCAAATCAAAGGTAAACTCACCTTTCTCTAATGACACGGTTCAGCAGTTCTGATGGAGGAGCCTCTACTTCTGTTGTTGCTCGCCACAGCCTCAATGGGTGACCATCACCAACCTTGCGATAAAGAATCTCAACGTTGGGATCCGTGCAGTTCATGTGTACCCAACCTCTGGATCTGTAAGATAAAGCAGAAAATTGTAAAACGGTGTATATAAGCTTTGACATTTTAATTTGGATTCTTTAAAAAGTAAGTTGTTTTCTTGTTTAAACATAAGGAACTGGATGCTTTGGTAACAAATCTCCAGATTTATAGAAATATCCATTCTCCTGAGCTATAGTAAAAATCCATGGTATAAAATCCATATCTCATTCATAGATCACATACTTCTGCAAACACCAGAGGCCCAAAACCACTCACTTGTCTCTTGCTTCTTTCAGTAACGATGTGATACAGGCATTCATGTAGGTTGACCAATCTCCGTCCACACTAGCCACTCCCGGAGACCCCACGACACCTAGGTCCTCAAGGTAAACGGGCTGACTCTGCTCCAGGTACGTGAACCGGCAGTTGGACAGCATTTCCATCGGCACACACTGGAGTTGGCTGACCTGTTAGAAAACACAAGAGAATTAGATACAATTTTTTTTTTTACGTGTAATAATTATTCATATCACCACAAAATTCTCATTTTAATAAGTATCCCTAATAAAAAAGATGCAACAATAACAAAGACAGAACTTGAAGTTGTCCAATAACATAGATCTTGAAATTAAATTCATGTCACTGCCTTTACATCAACCAAAAACAACTTACCTGCTGTATCATTAGAGTAAGACAGTGGTGAGCTGCCTTGTTTTCATGCAGATCCCGAGGCTCAGGAGTACCTGTCGCTCGCCGTCTCAATGGACTGGAACCCGAAGTCCCAACATTGAGGTGGAAGAGGGAGGGGGCCAGGCACACAGCCAAGTTGCTAGCATGCATCTGGAAAAAAGAGGTGGAAGGTAAGCAACTGAAAACATTTTCTAATTACACTGACATGAAATTTACACTGCTATTATGTAAATTTTCGAAGTATTGTTTCTATACTGTAAATATCCAAATTATTGTGACGGATTTACCTGATTCAGATGGGAATTTGCTGCCACATCAGCAAGGAATGTGAGAAGCACCATTAAGACTTCACGGTTCTCATCCGGCAACATAAGAATAGCACACTGAAGGGCCTCAAGACGATGTTCAACTGGCAGGTCTGTAAACGAGAAGCATGGATTGAAAATAGGGTATACATTGGTATACATATACACATACTATATACTCTATATATATACAATTACATATGTTATACTGGATATTGAATAGTAAAGAGCAGCAAATAAATTAAGCAAAATTAATAGTTTTGAGTTGGTATATAGCTTTAGGCAACAAATACTGAAAAATCTTATCAACAAACATAATACAGGTATACAAGGAGCTCACACACAATAATGATTCCAACTAAATATTTAATAGGCATATAACTTACACTGGAAGATTGCTATGAACATTTCGGAGAGCTTGTTGGTCAATAACACTTCAGGCAGCTCCCTGAAGTACGTTTTGACCATATCAGCTATGTCACAGGTACCGAAGTCCGAGTACTGAATGTTCTCTCCCATTTCATGTAACTCTTGCAGCTTCTGAATGCGGGATCTCACACCAGGTTTCCTAAAGATGCCAACCTGAAAGGGAAAGAATTCACCTTGTTTTAAATACATTTGTTACATTTGGAGGTTTCTCTTTCTGTGGTTCATTTCAACATGGCTACAGAGTAGATGGCTTCTAGGTTGCCATTTACCTGATCCAGGCTTGAAGTCCTGAGATACTGCAAAGCTGCTTGGATCCCAGAAGGCAGCGGTTGTCCTGTTCTTTGAGCAATCACCAGGAGAGGCACACCAAAGACCTGCCTGTCGCGGTAGTCAGGGGTCTTCATTTTGCGCATGAACTTTGGCAGTTCCCAGTTCCACCCACTGCGGTTGCTTGGGCAGTACCTTTCCATGAGTGCAGTCAGCCTGGTGGAACAATGCACAAAATTATTATTAGGAAAAAGAAAATATTTCACACAATAGATTATGAAGTTCCTCTGTTATATTCAGTCTTTATAGTATTAAGGGTGGGACACTTACCTCAACAAAGCTCGTTTTCTTAAGTGCAGCATCTGTCCACTGCTGAACCCATTAATCTGTGTTCCGTGCTGGCGTACAGACTGCTGGTATGATTTGCGGTTGAAACTGTGCCATCTGTCCACTGTCACTCTAAGCAAAAATAAATCATTCAAATTAAAATCATACAAATACTCTTTTACAGTTATATGAACACAGAGTATACTGCACAGCCTTAATTTCCTTTTTTTTGCACTGGAATATTCTTCATTATCTATTCAAAATACAAGTGTATAATGTATTACAGGTAATCCTTAAATCCTACCTTCTCTGACAGGGGTCTTCGTTCTCATCATCATCGTGAGTGGATGGCAAAGGCGAGTCTCTGCTCTCTACTGTGCACTCACTGCTACCTGAACCTTCATGCGCGCTTGCTTCTGGAAGAAAGCGAATGCCTATTAATGAGGAACACATTGTCAATAAAGACTAGCTTAATTATATGTAAGTTTTAGAATGGATGATAATATAATTGAAAATAATTTTGGAAGTTACATGCGGTAAGTTGGAACTCGGTGAGAACTTACTTCGAACATAACAACAAAGCCACTGGAATAAATCCTTTGCAAAACTGAGGTCTGGGCATAAGTGTTTTAGCAACACTGCTAAATACTGTTCAATAGGATCCATAATTACAAAGGTCACAGTTTCTCCGAGGTAAATTATTCACAGCTCTAAATAAAATATCAAGTCATAGTGAGAGGTACACTATCATATTCAGACCCAGAGACAGACATGTCCAGAACGGAATATAAAGCACAAAGATGCCGGCACCGCTATCCGTGCAGCTTCCCCCACCCAGTGCCAGATACAACTGCAAGTATCTCCCTCCATAACATGATGCCGCCTTTCCCAAGATCCTGAACATTCCCCTAGGAACACCAGTTGCCAAATACCACAAAATAACAAGGGAAGAAATGGCGGATATCCTGTTTTATATTTCTTATCTATCTCTTCAACATAGTTACTGTCTTAATAATTAGCAACTTTATCCTTAGGAGGGGGGGAATATATTAACAAATAAGAGAATATTTTCCAAATAACAACCTCTGGCAAAGAAAATTGCAGGTAAAGCTACACAGTTCAGTGACTCCTGCCTAGCATAGTGTACTCAAGTGTGAATTTTAGAGAACACAAATATGAGATTACTCCTTTACACTTCTTAGACACATTATCACACTATCATGATTAATATGAATATACAAAAAATAAGTATACAAATAAACTAAAATAATCTCTATATGGATTACTTATATGAGCAAATATATGACAGTATATGACAATGTTGTCATATATCTTTATACATTTATAGTATTCAATTAAAATAATCCTTTATGAGTACCTCCTATACCTGCCAAATAATTCCAAATAAAAATAATACAAAAATAAAATCCCTTGCCCATCTTCATTATCCCAGTTCCAATCAATTGCAATTCCTCCCTCTATTTTTTTTTTGCAACTTCATCAAGATAAAATTCAACTGAACATTAACATACCAGAATCCATGGCCTCAGGTTGGTAGTCATGGTAACTCTTGTTGCATATGATGAGGGGGACGTTGTCATACACCGAGTGCCTCTCCTCGTCAGGGCTGGGGATGGGCGACACGTTCTCGTCATTCTTCTCAACTCCTGGGGAAAAAAAGGTTATATTAGCACCTTTGGAATGGTGGGGAGGGGGAGGAGGGGAGAGGGATAGAGGGAGAGAGAGAGAGATGGAGAGGGAGGTAGGGAGGGAGAGGAAGGGGGAGGGGAGAGGGATAGAGGGAGAGGGATAGAGAGAGAGAGAGAGATGAGAGAGAGAGAGAGAGAGAGAGAGGAGAGAGGGAGAGAGAGAGGAGAGAGGAGAGAGAGGGAAAGAGAGAGGAAGAGAGGAGAGAGAGAGAGAGAGAGAGAGAGGAGAGGAGAGAGAGAGAGAGAGAGAGAGAGAGAGAGAGAGAGAGAGAGAGAGAGAGAGAGAGAGAGAGAGAGAGAGAGAGAGAGGGAAAGAGAGGGAAGAGAGGGAAAGAGAGAGAGAGAGAGAGAGAGAGAGAGAGAGAGAGAGAGAGAGAGAGAGAGAGAGAGAGAGAGAGAGAGAGAGAGAGAGAGAGAGGGAAAGAGGGAGGAGAGAGAGAGAGAGAGAGAGAGAGAGAGAAGAGAGAGAGAGAGAGAGAGAGAGAGAGAGAAGAGAGAGAGAGAGAGAGAGGAAAGAGAGAGGGAAAGAGAGAGGGAAAGAGAGAGGGAAAGAGAGAGGGAAAGAGAGAGGGAAAGAGAGAGGGAAAGAGAGAGGGAAAGAGAGGGAAAGAGAGGGAAAGAGAGAGAGAGAAAGAAGAGAAAGAGAGAGAAAGAAAGAGAGAGAGAAGTAGAAAGAAAGAGAGAGAGAGAAAGAAAGAGAGAGAGAGAAAGAAAGAGAGAGAGAGAAAGAAAGAGAGAGAGAGAAAGAAAGAGAGAGAGAGAAAGAAAGAGAGATGAAAATTTACTTTCCTCATACAGTGCAAGACACTTCACAACCTCGTCTCTCTTACCTCCTCTAATACTCGAGAGAAAGTGCTCCCTGGCGGCCTGCGAGTCCTTCCCGTAGGTGAGGGAGCCGGTGTGGCGCAGCTGGCCCTGCCTGGAGGGGCGTCCTGACCCCGCCTTGCCCGCCCGCTTCTCCGAGCCTGTGGTCTGGAAGGGAAGCAAATGGAATGAATAAAAGCGAATACGAAGAATGAATAACAAAAATCAGTACAAATGTGATGTTTTTTATTTATTTATTAGGCTGATGTCGGAATTCAAGGAAAGAACGCGACCATGTTCATCACGATATCCTCCCTCTCTCCTCTGCTTCCCATTCTCACCTGTGCCATCTTGTTGGAGTTGGCATCCGTGAAGTAGTGTCTCCAGGTGGGCGGCGAGCACTCGGAGTCGCTGTACGCCCCTCCTCCGCCGCCCGTCTCGCCCACCCCGTGCCCACTGCCGCCCCGACGCCCGAATCTCTTGCGCCGACGCCACCGGAACAGCGGCGTCGACGTCTGCGAGTGGTCGGAGGCTAACGAGGAGGAATCCTAAGGATGGAGAGGAAGGGAAGAGCTTGGTTAATGCTTGGGGAGAAGGGCGATTGCGACGGGGCTTAAGTGCTTTAAGTAAGGATGGTAGAGGCTGTTCGACAGGGTCCATAACAGTTTGGTGTAAAAGGGAAATGGTTTAAAAACGCTAATGAAGGACGTCAAATCTTTATTTCAAGTCAAGATAAAGCCCTGATATATATACGATGGATGTTCGAGAGCTATCCATTCACCACTCGCCTTCTTCAGATATAACGAACTGACGTGGCAACAGGTCCTGCCCAAAGCCGCCCAACTCACCTCGCCCGGGGTCGACTGCCTGGCTTCCCTGGGGTGCGTGGAGCCCACCGTCATCGTGGAGGTGGTGGTGGAAGCGCGGCTGGCCAGCTCCGGCGACGCGTCCAGCGAGATGTCGACGCAGCCCATCTCCGCCACCTTGGCCTGCATGTCGGCTTCGTCCACGAGCTGGGGACGAGGGGGATTATTTCATTATAAAGGGACACTCTGGGGCGCTGGAGAATTTTATCATTACTGTTATCATTATAAAGGAACACGCGTAAATAAACACCCGATAAAAAGTGGAAATGATGGATAATAAACACTGAGGAACATGCCCCCCCCCACTGATCTGAGCGCCTCCACGTCCAATCCATCACCGCCACAACCTCACCTTGGGGCCGCTGATGACGACGCCGTCCCTGTTCTGCCTCTTCTTCTTCTTGTTCTTGAGCGACTCCATCCTGCGCAGGAAGGCCTTGGCGCCGTCCCGCAGCCGCTCCGAGCCCGACCGCTTGAACTGGCCGAGGAGGACGTCATCCTGGATGTCGAGGCCCCGAGGCTCGCCGCACACCTTGCTGTCGCCGCCTGCAAGAGGGACGCGCGTGAGTGGCTGGGCGTGTGAGTGAGTGAGTGTGCGTGTGCGTGTGCGTGTGCGTGTGCGTGTGCGTGTGCGTGTGCGTGTGTTTGTTTGCTAGACACTATTCTTAATTACCATATTCTGACACTCAGCCTTGATCAGGACTCTTTAGAATGAATCCACAGATCGCAACCATAACATCTACTGGTGGCAGGTAAAAATAGGACCACTTTCTCTGCGTCAGATTCGCTGATATCACATCAAATTACGATTTTTCTACAATAATGAATATCGAACAAAATGTAAACATACACACACAAAACCGAAAATCAACACACTATTTCACTCACAATTTCTAAAACGGAAATATCACGCCTTTTCGAACAACTCACGTTCACAACACACAAAGAGATAAATAAATAATCACGTCCCCACACAAAAAAATAAAGTAAAATAATAAAAAAAACACACAGTTCCATATTTTCCTCTCTACCTTCATAGCTGAAGCACAGCGTGAGAAGATCCACCTGCATATTTGTCTTGTTCTCGCTCCTTCTTCCAATCTATCTTTTCTAACTTTGTTTCAGCTCATGTAGAAATCTTTTAAAAAACCCCGTCCACCTGTCTCAGATCTCCGCCACACCTGTCGAGCGAGGCCGGGAGCTGTTGCCTCTGCGATCACCGGGAATGCACTGACCCCTACGTGACCTGACTCGGAATTCCTTGACCCCGCTGGTTTAGAACAGTGATCATCACGCTGACCTGTCTTTCCCCCTCCCCCCCCATTGCCCGGTCGATCGAGATGCCAAGATCCACTTAAAAAAAAAAAATTTAATTTTACTTCGATATAATTCCATTTCTCTCTCCCATCAATAGAGGAAAAACGGACATAAACACGAATCTGACAACAAAACAGGTATAACATTTTCCTCTAAAGAACAACAATTTGAAAATCAGAATTTCACAGACAAGAAAATGATGAACACACAATGAACACCTTCCCCCTCTCCTCCCCCCCCCCCCCGAAACAACAGCTCAGGGGGCTCGCGAGACAAGAAAATGCCCCAAAGCAACACCTCCTGTGACAATGGCATGACTGACAGCTCTATGCGAACCCCCTTGTCAGCGCAGCGAGCGAGAGACGCTTCTCTGCTTGCCATGATCTACCCCCCCTTCTCTCTCTCTCTCTCTCTCTCTCTCTCTCTCTCTCTCTCTCTCTCTCTCTCTCTCTCTCTCTCTCTCTCTGTCTCTCTCTCTCTCTCTCTCTGTCTCTCTCTTTCCCCCTCTCTCTCTCTCTCTCTTTCCCCCCCCTCTCTCTCTCTCTCTCTTTCCCCCCCCCTCTCTCTCTCTCTCCTCTCTCTTTCCCCCCCCCCTCTCTCTCTCTCTCTCTCTCTCTCTCTCTCTCTCTCTCTCGCGTGTTCTCTGTCTATCCGTCTCTCTTCTAAAAATATAAAGGAAAATGCATATGGAACGGGAAAACAAGGAAAAAGAACAGAGAGAAAGAAAGAAAAAGGGAGAGAGGAAGAGGGAGGAAAGGAGGGACAGAGGGAGGGAGAGAGGGAGGGAGAGAGGAAGATAGAGATAGATAGATAGAGAAAAAGAAGAAAAAGAGTAAAAAAAAACAAAAAAAAAAACAATCACATCCCCACCCCCATCCCCTCCAACTGCCCCGCCTTCTTCAACCCCCTTAACCCCTTAAATACGCCCCCTTCAACTACCACCTCTTTCCCCCTCCCCCCCGCCCCCTGCAAGACACAGGAACAGGTAGCGGGGGATTTAAGACGCCGACCCCCCCCCCCCCCCGCGAATTCCCAGGGGGCGCGTTAGCTCATAATCCCCAAGTCCTTCCTGCCTGAAGTCACACGGCCGCGGCACTTGGCAATGGGGGGGGGGGGGGGGAGGGGGTGATGGGGGGGACAGAGGAGGGGG